ACGACGACGACGACGACGACGACGACGACGACGACGACGACGACGACGACTATACTATGTGGAAAAAGATGGGATGATGCGGCTGATCATCACTGATGTGAAACCAAGAACAAAAACACATAGGCACAGGCTAGCAGGGCTTCTGAGATGATGCTGAGGCCAACGGGGGGCGAGCAGCAAAAGGTAGAAAATTGAGGAAGCCTGCGAAAAGATTAGAGCCAAGTGCAGTAGGGTGAGAAAGAAAGAGTGAAACAGATGTCAAGGGACAGCCCTGGAAGGGGTGCAGCTGTAAAGTGCCGTCCGCATGCAGCTGCGGCTAGAGCTCCGCTCGTAGCCAGGACGCCCTAGGATCTAGAGAGGCCGGCTCAGAGAACGCTCAGTAGACGAAACCAAAGCTGCGGCTTGCCACTTGCCTGGTGCTACTCCTGCGGTTTGGAACGTCCACCATCCAATCCGCCGGGGGGGGTCCAGCAGGGTGATCCCCTTGGCCCACTGCTGTTTGCAGCAGCCATCCACGGCCTTACCCAACAACTCCGCGCCCACCTGGATTTGACAGTTTTCTATTTGGATGACGGCGTCATCGCTGGCGATGCTGTGGCGGTTGGCGCGGCCCTTGCCCACCTCCAAACCCAGGGCGGGAGTCTGGGCTTGGCCCTCAACTTGGCCAAGTGTGAACTCATCAGCGTCGGCGGCTTGCCGCTGAGCGACCTCGCCGGACACTTCCGCCCCGGGATTGTCCGGCACCCTGACGGGACCAGCCAAAACCACTTCGAATTGCTTGGGCGGCCATCGGCGACGACTCTTTCCTTGCGGCCCACACTGCTGACCGGGTTCAGGCCGTCTTGCCTTTGCTGGAGGCCTTGTATGGCATCGGGGATGCCCAAGTGGGGCTCCGCCTGCTCCGCACCTGCGCGGGGTACGGGCGCATAGTGCACAGCCTTCGATGCAACCCGCCCCAGGCCCAACTGCAGCCTCTACAGAATTTCGACACCGCGGTGCACTCGGCCTTTTCGAGTATAACCGGGCTGCACCTCAATGCCACCCAAAGAGAACAGGCCGGCCGCGGCTTGGCATATGCCGGGCTAGGTCTCAGATCGGCAGCCTTGGATGCCCCCGCTGCATACTTAGCCTCGGTTGGGAGCACAGCCACGGCGTGTGAAGAACTTGACGGGGGCTATGTCGCTGCGTCCGTGGTGGCGGACCCCGCCGTTACTGTGGCCACGACAATGCTGAACGCCATGCTCACCAACCCCTTGGCACCGGGGGCCGCCTTGAGCATGACCCAAAAAGCCCTTGCCTATACCACAGACGAAGCCTCCTGGCGCACACACTTGGAACAATCCGCCACCACCACTCAAGCCCTCTTGCGCTCTGAAGCGGAGCCTGGGGCCCGGGCCTTCCTCGCTGCCACTCCGGGTGGACAGAGTGCACCCCAAGGCTCCGCTTAGTCTATCTGAGAATAGGATATGTCTTAT